TCTTATTCTAAAAGGTGTCCTAATCCTATAGTTCCTGCCCCTTGAGTCTTCGCTAGTTCTAGGCCTTCTAGTATTTAGCCTCGGGGTTCTTGATTCTACTATTTCTCTTATTTAGGCCTAGGTCCTATGCCGGTCTATCCTATAAGTTCGAGTACTATTCTTCCTAGACCCTGACCATCTTGGCCTTAACGAATTCTAGCTGGCTTATAGCCTAAGCTTTTTCTTTTACAAGTCTTCGGGTAACTATCCGAAGCTCGGCTTGTTCCTCCTTAGCCTCCTAAAGGCGTTAAGCAAGAAAGATAGGGTTCGGGCTAATAGGTTCGTCGCCTGATTATCGTATTCTCTATTGACCTTCTTTATTCTAGGTTAGCTAAAAGCCCTAATCTTCTACGAGTTATAATGCTATAATAGCGGTAATATTATAGCCTGTAATAGGTTCTTCGAACGTAATATAGGGGCTATTGCTTCCTGACTAAGAGGAGTCGTCAATACTTCCTTTAGCCATGCCCTAGTCAACTACGTCGTTAAAGTTATCCTCGGTATAGCTTGCCGTAGCTATTTTAACTATATAGGTTAACTTATTAATCGTAGTATTTTCCTTGCCAGGCACCTGCTTCTAGTTCTTCTTACTATAGCACTCCTACTTAAAGTATCCTTTCTTACTATAATTAAAATAGGTGGCCTAGGACTTGTCCTTCCGTCCCTTATCCTTATACTAGGTGATATCTATATCTATCGGACTAGTATAGGTGCTATACGATATGCTAGGGTACTGTCGTTTCTTTTTATCGTTTGCCTTGATAAATATAGGCTACGTTCTATATTCCTTACGCTACTAACGCCTAGCATAAATCCGATCGTTAATACGGATGGCTATAGCAATATATTTATTAAGCGTATCAGGTCGGTCTTTTTAATATAGTTCATCCTTGACTTCTTCCTTTAAGCTATCGTAGAATAATTATATAAGACCTTTATCGTTGATCTCGTACCAAAGTAAATCCTAGCGGAATTATATAGTATAGGCAGCCGCCGACTTTATCTGCCTTAGGTATATAAGTCGTTCCTACGTATAGAGCTTCTTATTATAGTCTCCAAATACCTTTTAGATTTCCTGCTTAAATTTATCGTACGATTTGAAAATCTTAATAGTAAAGTCGTCCTAAGTATCCGCGCTATTGGTTAGCTAATCTTTAAGGGTGGGTTTAAACCATCGAAGTGCCTTCCCCTTAAGCCGCGAGGAGATGAATATGACTTTGGCAGATTCGTCTATAAATTTGTCCGGGTAGTACTTGAGGTAGGTCCTTATAGATATAAGGAATCTAGTAAGTCCTTCTTTATTGCCTCTATACTTAGGGGGTGCTTCGAGTTTGGCTTTATCCTTAGGCTTGCCGTTATAGGCCTCGTTGACGAGTTGCTATATATGGCCATTCTCGGCCTTAAGCTGGGCGATTTTGGCGTTGAGAGCCTCGAGAGCCTGCTGCATCTGTCGCATGGTTGCGGCCTGGCTCTGGGATTCCGGGGTGCTAGGTGTCTAGGGCGCCATAATAGTCGGTGGTACCTTCGATCTGAACCGTGACAGAGTCAAAGGGAGTGAGCAACGTATGACGAAACCATAGGCAGTCCTGCCTCTGAAAGGGTTCGCCGGTCGAAGGTAACTGCTGGTCGGACTATAGGTCTCGGTGAAGCCAAAAGGTTCACAACAATGCTTGCCGCAATGTCTGCATAATAGGTATGGGCTATTACTTGTAATTGCTCACTGGAGAACTCCCAGAGTCCTCCAGAACGAGTGTCTAGCCGTCCTATACTACGGGCCTTCCTATGGATCACGGCCTCCCTCTGGTGATCCCTTATACTGGATCACCTTGGATCACCAGTGATCCCTTGTGAGTCTTACACCTGGATCACCAAGCCTTTCCTATGCCAAGTGTGATCCTCTTCTAATTGGTCCATTCCTGGACCGGAACGATTGGACGCAGGCGTCGCCTGCAGACCATGCAGGTCGGCCCCACCGGCCGCTGCAGGTTAATTCATGACAGGCTCGCTCTAAAGCTCCGCCACGGATAGGTTATTATAATATATCTACGATGCCTAAAAAGGTTAGATTAGCAGGATATCTATGGTTATATTAGAGTCGTCTACTTATCTTCTATACTACTATATACCTGAAGGTCAGCAATTATAACCCTCTCATCTATCTTAAAGGCGTCTACTTACCAGCTATACCACTATATATACTAAGGTTAGCAATTATCACTCTCTTATCTATATCAATAGCATCTACTTATCTCCTATACTACTACGCACCCGAAGGTCAGCAATCATAACCCTCTCATTTATCTCAAAAGCGTCTACTTACCTACTATACTATTATATAAATGAACGTTAGCAACCATCACCCTCTTATCTATCTTAAAGGCGTCTACTTACTGGCTATACCTCTATATAGATGAAGGTCAATAACTATCACTCTCTTATCTATCTTAAAGACGTTTACTTACCCATTATACTACTATATATATAACGTTTAGCAATCATTACCCTCTTATCCATCTTAAAGGTATCTACTTACCTCTTATACCACTATACACCCAAAGGTTAGCAATTATAACTCTCTCTCTCAAAGGCGTCGACTTACATCCTATACCACCACGTATACAAAGATCAGCAATCATCACCCTCTTATCCATCTTAAAGGCATCTACTTATCCGCTATACCACCATATATACAAAGGTCAGCTATCATCACTCGTATATCCATCTTAAAGGCGTCTACTTACCTACTATACCACCACATATATAAATGTTAGCAATCATCACCCTCCTATCCAAAGGCATCTACTTACCCGCTATACTAATATATACGCTAACATTAGCAATCGTCACCCTATTATCTATCTCAAAGGTATCTACTTACCTACTATATAACTCTATATACAAAGGTCAGCAATCACCACTTTCTCATCTATCTTAAAGGCATCTACTTACTAGCTATACCACTATATATATAAAGGTTAGCAATCATCACTTTCTTATCTATCTCAAAGGCATTGATATACCCACTATATTACCATACAAACGAAGGTTAGTAATTATTACCCTCTTATCTATTTCAAAGGCGTCTATTCACCGGCTATACCTCTATATAGACGAAGGTCAATAACCATCACCTTCTCATCTATCTCAAAGGCATCTACCTACCTGCTATACTACACTATATATAAAGGTCAGCAATTATCACTCTTATATATCTTAAAGGCGTCTACTTATATCCTATACTACTATATATACTAACATTAGCAATCATCACTCTTATATCTATCTCAAAGGCATCTACTTACCTATTGTACTACTATACACCCAAAGGTCAGCAATTATAACCCTCTTAACCATCTTAGAGGCATCTACTTACCTCCTATATACACACCTGAAGGTCAGCAATTATAACCCTTTCACCCATCTTAAAGGCGTCTACTTACCTCCTATACTACCATATATTAATATTAGCAATTATCGCCCTCTTATCTATCTCAAAGGTATCTACTTACCCGCTATACCACTATAACCCTGAAGGTTAATAATTATAACCCTTTCACCTATCTTAAAGACACCTACTTATATCCTATACTACTATATATACTAATATCAGCAACTATTGCCCTTTCATCCATCTTAAAGGCGTCTATTTATCCGCTATATCACCACGTACCCAAAGGTTAGCAATTATAACCCCCTCACCTATCTTAGAGGCATCTACTTACATCCTATACCACTATATATACTAATGTTAGCAATTATCACCCTTTTATCTATCTTAAAGATGTATACTTATACGCTATACCACTATATACCCAGAGGTCAGTAACTATCACCCTCTTATCTATTTCAAAGGCGTCTATTTACCAGCTATACTACTATATATATAAAGGTCAGTAATATAACTCTCTTACCTATCTCAAAGATATCTACTTACATCCTATACCACCGTATATATTAATGTCAGCAATTATCGCCCTCTTACCTATCTCTAAGGCGTCTACTTACCTTCTATAACACTATATATACTAAGGTCAGTAATTATAACCCTCTTACCCATCTCAAAGGCGTCTTCTTACCTATTATACCACCATATACGTCAGCAACCATTACCCTCTCATATATCTTAAACGCGTCTATTTACCTCCTATACTATAGTATACAATAAGGTCAGCATATATCACTTGCTTATAAACCTTTTACACATACCTCCTATAAAGTGGAATTACAATTAGCTATTATCTTCTAATCCTCAACTGAAAACATACAAGCTAACGTTATATTAAATTAGATTCCAAATCTAAAACTTCATCTAGAGTATAAATCTCACCTGAAAACTGTCATAAATCCAGCGACGGCGCTAGGCGCCCTCAGATGCCATTTTGAAGACTAGTTCCCTACCAGACTCTGGCGCGATAGGGAATCGGAGCAGGGTTTTAATATCTCAAGTTGTAGGGTAAGATTAGGCCTTATCTTAATCAGGCATCAAGATATACAGTCTTGCTGCTAGAGAAAATACTTAGGAAGAAGTCACAAACATATCTCCTTTGCCGTCAGGACGCATAAAGAACTTCTCTAGAGAAGGACGTAAGGCACCTGATGGGGTTGCGAAAATAGGAAAGGAGAAGCAAAGAAATCTAAGAGGATGTGCACGTACAGGCCCTTTAGTTGAACCCACCAAGGTCCGTGCATAGAATGCAACCACGGTGGGGCTGCGTGCTTGTGGTTTGTCACGGTCAGCAGTTCCAGGGTTAGGGTTCCATGAAACCTGCACTAAGAATCTGATTAACGAATCTTCCGTGAATACTGCCATACTATCCAGCTTCGTTCCTCAATGCTCTTTAGGCAAACCGCTTGCGGTTTGCGTCTCCTGTCGCCGGCAGACGGCATCATTCAATCAAGGACCCACATTTGCTGGTCAGAAAATGATCAGCAAATGTGGGGCTATGGTGTCGCCTCTAGATCCACCTTCCAAACCCCGCATTCGCAGGGAACTTCAGTTCCTCGTTCCACATCTCAAATAACCAACTCGGCTCCACACCAACGTCCGGTTAGGCATGCCGGTGCACCGGATCGGCTTCACACAACTTTCTGGCAGTCATGGCGTTAGGGGCGGACCGTACCGAGTCAAGTATGCGGTCAATTCCGTTACGGGTAGCCGTGACTGACGCGAAGCAGCATCATCTTTGTGCACGGCTTGCGAGGGCATCCACAACACACGTGGGAGGACAGCCGGGACAAGGGCAGCGTGGACAGAAGCAGCGTAGACAGGGGCAACAAGAACGCGGGAACGGTGACGTCACGAAAACGAAATATCTTGAAGTCCCTCTTCAAGTCCAAGCCATCGTCCTCAGCCTCGATTTCGACCACGACCTCAATTGCCGACGATGAAACGAGCGAAGAGAGCTCCGACAAGCTGTTCTGGCCCGATGAGTATCTTACGCAAGACATTCCCGAGGCCAGGGTATGGACATATGGCTATAATACAGACGCAGTCGGCGGGCTGTTCCAGGCGAACAACAAGAACAGCGTGTCGCAGCACGGCCGAGACTTTGTAGTGCGCGTCGAGCGGGAGATCCAAAACGAGGTCGGTGCGCTTCAATGACTCGGGTGGGAGGCTCGAACTGATGATTAACAGGACCCGATCATATTCGTGGCGCATAGCCTCGGCGGAATTATCGTCAAAGATGTACGTCCGACCTGCTCAATACACTAGCTGATACTTATGTTGGGCAACAGGCGATACGCCGATCAGACGCGTGTCGCGCACGAACCAAACTGATTATCTTCCTTGGCACGCCTCATCGGGGAAGTGCATATGCAGGATGGGGCGAGATCGCGTCGAATCTAGCTCTTCTGGCACTGCAAGACTCGAACAAGAAGATCATCCAGACGCTGGAGGTGAACAGCGAGGTCCTGGACAATATCCACGAGGAGTTTAAGACCATTGCAGACCAGTTTCGAATTCGGATCCACTCGTTCCAGGAGGCGCGGGGAATATCAGGCATGAAGGGCTTGCACAATAAGGTACGTCGCCAGCCTATCTTGAAGGTCATCCTGAGTGGTAATCGTAAATTCACGGCAGGTTGTAGACGATATCTCCTCGAAGCTCGATCTGCCGCGATCCCTCGAGGCTGTCGAGAGTATCGACGCGAACCATATGCAGATGGCCAGATGTGGTGACAGGGCAGATCCACGGTACCGGGCTATCGTCGGCGTGCTCAAGCAGTTCATACATCGTATGGTGTTTGATGAAAATGGAACCAGGCTTCAGCAAGTATCCTCGATATCATTCACAGCTGAGGCCAGGGTAGCAAAAAGGGGAGGCGGGTTTGACGGAGCATTGACGAGTTAGTATAGGAGAGCTCTGCTATAATAGTTAGCAACTGTTGACTCTGCTACAGACCGTGCCGCCCTGCCATGTCACTACATTCCGCTCCCCGAAAACCGGCGCTTCGTTGGACGGGACAGGACGCTAGACACCCTCAAAGCGATGCTGTTCGTGCGCAAGGAGTGGCGGAAAGTCGCCATTGTCGGCCTAGGTGGTGTCGGCAAGACCCAGGTCGCCCTGCAGCTAGCATACTGGACAAAGAAACACCAGCCTAAGTTTTCCGTCTTCTGGGTACCGGCGCTAAGCAACGCAACCTTTGAACAGGCCTTTACCGCGATGGCAAGGAAGCTCCCTATCCAAAGTGGCGGCGAGAACGATGACCTTAAAGAGTCCGTGCGGCGGTACCTGAGTTCTGAGGCGGCGGGGCCATGGCTTCTCGTGGTGGACAACGCGGATGATAGAGATATTCTCTTCGGCTCTGCGGATATGCCGGGTGGTATTAGCGACTACCTTCCCGAAAGCGACGAGGGCCTCACCTTGTTCACAACACGGTCTCGAGAAGTAGCCGTGTCGGTTACCGGGAGCGATGTGATCGACCTAGCCGAGATGCACCCGCAGGAGGCGGCTGAACTTTTGGAAAAGTCGCTAATTCAGAAGGATATGGTTCGCGATGAAGCGGCGACGGCAGAACTGCTGGAAGAGCTTACCTACCTTCCCCTAGCAATTACACAGGCGGCGGCCTATATCAACATAAAACAGGTGCCCCTTGCCGAGTATGTCGATCTACTGCACGGCACTCAGCAGGACATCATCGGCCTGATGAGCAAAGAGTTTCGGGACAATACTCGGTACCCAGGGTCGCAGGATGCGGTGGCGACAACATGGCTCGTATCCTTTGACCAGATCCGCAAGTCCGACAACGTTGCCGCCGATCTGCTATCGTTTATCTCGTGTATCGAGCCCAAAGGAATACCTCAGTCGCTGCTCCCCGGCTCCGAGTCGACAGGGCCGCTAGTTGATGCAATCGGAACTTTATGCGCGTACGCCTTTCTAACCAGACGGGGGGACAGCAAGGTATTCGACATGCACAGTCTGGTACACTTGGCAACGCGAATCTGGGTTCAGCGAGAAGGCCAAACGGCACCGACGCATGAAAAGGCAACTCGACATCTTGCAGCAGTTTTCCCATCCGACGATTATGCGAATCGCAACGTGTGGAGAGAGTACCTTCCGCATGCTTTCAGGGTATTGCAGCACAGCAAAGAACTTGATATGGAGGAAGGGTCCGATTTGTTGTTCTGGGTTGGACGGTGTTTGATGGTGGATGGGCGGATCAAGGAAGCTGCTAGGAGTTTGGAAGAGGCTTGCCAATGGATGAATCGTCATTTTGCCGAAGACCACCCCGACTGGCTTGCGTCACAGCACGCACTCGCAACAGCCTACCAAGCAAACGGCCAGGTCAAAGATGCCGTCACGCTACTCGAACAGGTCGTTGCCATTAAGGCCAAAACCCTCGCGGAAGACCACCCCTCGCGGCTTGCATCGCAGCACGCACTTGCAACAGCCTACCAAGATAACGGCCAGGTCAAAGATACCGTCACGCTGCTCGAACAGGTCGTTGCCATTAAGGCCAAAACCCTCGCAGAAGACCACCCCGACCGGCTTGCATCACAGCACGCACTTGCAATAGCCTACCAAGCAAACGGCCAGGTCAAAGATGCCGTCACGCTGCTCGAACAGGTCGTTGCCATTAAGGCCAAAACCCTCGCAGAAGACCACCCCTCACAGCTTGCGTCGCAGCACGCACTCGCAACAGCCTACCAAGATAACGGCCAGGTCAAAGATACCGTTATGCTACTCGAACAGGTCGTTGCCATTAAGGCCAAAACCCTCATGGAAGACCACCCCTCGCGGCTTGTGTCACAGCACGCACTTGCAATAGCCTACCAAGACAACGGCCAGGTCAAAGATGCCGTCATACTACTCGAACAGGTCGTTGCCATTAAGGCCAAAACCCTCGCAGAAGACCACCCCGACCGGCTTGCATCGCAGCACGCACTCGCAACAGCCTACCAAGCAAACGGCCAGGTCAAAGATGCCGTTATACTACTCGAACAGGTCGTTGCCATTGAGGCCAAGACCCTCGCGGAAGACCACCCCTCGCGGCTTATGTCACAGCACGCACTTGCAATAGCCTACCAAGCAAACGGCCAGGTCAAAGATGCCGTTATGCTACTCGAACAGGTCGTTGCCATTGAGGCCAAAACCCTCGCGGAAGACCACCCCTCGCGGCTTATATCGCAGCACGCACTTGCAATAGCCTACCAAGACAACGGCCAGGTCAAAGATGCCGTCATGCTACTCGAACAGGTCGTTGCCATTAAGGCCAAAACCCTCGCGGAAGACCACCCCTCGTGGCTTATATCGCAGCACGCACTTGCAATAGCCTACCAAGACAACGGCCAGGTTAAAGATGCCGTTATACTACTCGAACAGGTCGTTGCCATTAAGGCCAAAACCCTTGCGGAAGACCACCCCGACCGGCTTGCGTCGCAGCACGCACTCGCAACAGCCTATCAAGCGAACGGCCAGGTCAAAGATGCCGTTACGCTGCTCAAGCAGGTCGTTGCCATTGAGGCCAAAACCCTCGCAGAAGACCAGCCCGACTAGCTTGCGTCGTAGTAGTGGCTCGCCTCTGTATTGGAAATAGTAGATCGAGATAGCTATAGCGTAGTATAGTAGAAGTCATCAATTAAATATTTTCTTTTTCATATCTCTGCCCTTCCACGGGTCCTAGGGTTAGTGCAATTATATGCTATGTATTATTCTTTATGAATGTTCTCGATCAACTCGAATGGATTATATTCGATTTTTCCGAATGCTATCAACGAGGTTACTAACTACCTTCATTTGAAGTGCGAAGAGTAATGAGTAATGACAGAAGACGGATATCAAGCAAACGTGAGCAGAGTGTAAGTTAACGTTAGTTGGAATAATAGTGCAAGGGGGTTCAGGGGGCCCAAGACACGGTCTCTATAAGCGCCAAAATTGGCTCAAGGCCCGTGTGCCAAGATTTGTTAAGGATTGCCCCCGAGATACTTTCCTGCTACAGTTGCATCCATAAAGGCACCTCAGCCACATACGGACCCCGCAGTCCTTTAAAGTTAACTAAAAAAGCTAGCGACACCCATTTCGCCTTTTACTATAGTACATACTGTACAAGTAATATTCAGTATCCTAAAAGGGACTTCTTTCTTTTCCACTTGATCGCTGCTTGCCCGCAAGGGCGGCAAACCCTTCGAAATATACGTCATTCTAACCGCCTCGACGAGCTCTATCTAACGGCACTAGTTGCACCCGCGCGGCCGTCCTCGCGCGGCCGTAACAGGCCGTTGAATCAGGCGTTGTGTTGCAGACACCCGACCATCAGTCAATTTTTTCCCTGCGTACGGGCCAACCGGTTATTCCCCGGCCAGCTACCCTACCGGACCCAGCTATTCTCGAACGGCCCACCCTACCAACAATCCCCCACACTCCCCACGCAACCTACCCTACAGGCCCCTACAGGCCCTATCCTACCAGAAGGAGCCGAAAATGAACGACGTTCCGGATCCGGCACCCGATATTGAGATGGGAGAAAACCTCCCCCTCTCCCTCAGGGCAATAGTAGCTAACTATGGCTATATACAAGCCAGCATGCAAGCCAGAGGACTCTAGCCACTATACTCAAACCGGCCAAAACGACCAAGTCTACCAGCTACCTATATACATACGAGCATATCACCAGGCTTGTTAATGACCTACTTGCCCTAGTCTCCAAAGATAAGGGCAAGGCTCGGGCACTTGCAATGGAGATTCAACAAGCCTACCAACAAGCCTACCAACAAGCTACCATACCCCCCTCCCAGGCCAAGGCTGCAGCTATAGCTACGGCGTTGAACCTACCTACCTTACGGAAGGTAGTAGCAGAAGAAGTGCGAGCAGTACTAAGGGAAACCAAACCAGGACAGGCCTAAGCTACTCGGACTTGGGCTGATATAGTCCGAGAACCACTACAAGACACTATAGCCCAGCCAGCCAAGGTTATCCCAGCCAAGCAGAACTGCGAGATCCTTGTTCGGAGGGGCCATCTATCACCTGATCTAGCTAAGAGGACCCCCCTAGAAATTATCAAAGCCGTCAACGAGGCCTCTAGCCGACAAGAGGCTATTGCAGCTCGGAAACTGCCTAGCGGAGACATAGTAGTCACCTTCAACAACCCGAATACCAAGAAATGGCACTTTACCAACCACGACTGGATTCAACAGGCCTTTGGAAGCCAGGTAAAGGAAGCTCGACGGACCTACGGAGTGGTAGTTAAGGGCCTAAGGAAAGCTGACCTCCAGGGGGCTACAGAGGCCAGTTTTCAAGAAGAGGCCAGGCTATAGGCCGTGGAAAAGATCATCTTCCAATACCTCCACAACCCAGACTTCACCAGAGTCCCTGTAGTTATAGCCTTCACTAGCCAGGAGGAGGCTAAAAAGGCTTGCGACCTAGGGGTCCTATACCGAGCCCAGCTCTTTAACTACGAGCCATACTGAGCTCCGCTACGGCCAGCGCAGTGCTTTAAGTGCTGGAAGTGGGGCCATATAGCCTGCTACTGTAGAAAGGACCCCCTTTGCCCCCGTTGTGGTACTGGAACCCATGAGCCTGGTGGTAAGGAAGGCGAAGAGCAATGCCCTACCTATACTACAGGCCAGTTTAGATGCCCAGCCTGCAGGGGTCGCCACTCGGCTAGGGACAAGCAGTGCCTAGAACGGCTCCGGATACGGGCTATAGCTAAGGAGGCCTACCAACATAGGCCTAGAACCTTCGAATCGACTACTTCCAAGCCACAACAACTAACCTTCGACCTCGACTTTACCCGAACAACCTACCCTACAACTGCAACCACAACTTCTATTCCTGGCTCTCTCTCTCTAAGCCACGATGATCAAGATGCAGGCCCTTCTAGAAAGCGACCACGGGGTAGGCCAACAAAGGCTCAACAAGACCCTAAGCAGCTCCGACTATCCATCTCCCAACCTACCAGCCAAGCTACAAGCCAGGTTAAAGACTAGGCTATAAACTAAAATAACTTAACTAGCCAGCCAACCGACCACCTAGTCAGCTAACCAACCGATCACCTAGCTAGCCAACCCTCTAGTACTATATGGTAGTTACCATACTACAATGGAATACCGGAGGCATCAAACAACCACTAGAAATCTTAGTGGAGGAGGCTAAGTTCGACGTCCTAGCTATATAGGACCCATGGATCAACCACCAAACCAAGTCCACCTACTGCTCCCGACGCAGCCAGTATCACCTAGTCCATCAATTCTAGTGGCCGGGCAGCTATACTGGTTAAAAAGGCGATTGACCTTAGCTAGTGGGACTACGAGGCAGCTGAACATTAGTGCTGGGTTCGATTTGCAGGCTACGAAGATAGCCAGAGGGTGGAGGTCTGGTCGGTCTATAACCCCCCAGCAATCAAGATAATACCAGCCACTCTTTTACAATAATACCCCCGACCTTCCAGCTAAGTAATACTTACGGGGGACTTTAACCTTCAACATCCAGCCTGGGACTACTATGAACGCTACGACAATGAAGCTAATAACCTGCTCCAGTTAGCCACCTCTTGGGACCTTAGGCTAGTAACCCTAAAGGGTACTATAACTAGGTAACCACAAGGTAGGCAACGAGGACGCCCATCAACCATCGACCTAATCTGGGCCTCTATAGACCTTGCCTGCTCCTACTATGGTATTAAAAAAAGGGGAGATTCCGACCACTACCCCCAAGTAGTGGAGGTCCACCTCGAACACCCCCCTACGGCCCCACCCCCCCCCCCCCTGGTTGGTCCTGGAAAAAGATGGATAAAAAGAGGGTAAAGGCCGAAGCAGCCCTCTTACCAGGCCTCTGCGAGCTTGATAACCCTGGCCCGCAAGGCCTACAGAGCCGTACCCAGTCAATAGAAGGCCTAGACAAGGCATTCGACTGGCTGGTCAAAGAACTTACAAGGATTGCCAATGCTAGCACTCCCCGAAGGAAGCCCAACAACGGATTTCAAGCCCCCTGGTGGACGAACGAGGTACAACAAAAGGCCCAAGGGGCCCGGAAGGCCGAACGCACAGCTAAAGCCGTACCTACGGCTTACAATAAGGCCCAGCTAAACCAGAGACTCCGGGACCTTTCAAAGGCTATACGACAGGCTAGAACAAGGACCTAGAGATCTACCCTACAGGAAGCTAGTCATAACGAATCACTCCTTTAGAGCCTAGAACGGTGGGCCCGTTGCAAGAGCTTCCAGCCTACTAGCCCCCCTAGGCTCCCGGCCATCGACGGCTATACCACCCATACCCAGAAGGCCCAGACCCTAGCCAATCGTTTCTTTCCAAGCCCGCTAGCCGACCTCTCCAACATCCGAGATCCCACCTTTTCCCAGCCATGGGAACCAAAGATCACAATAAGCCAGGTGGTTAATGCCAGGGACATAGAAAATGCCATTGCCCAGGCTGCTCCCTGGAAGGCGCCGGGCAATGACTACCTCCCTATAGGTCTATTGAAGGCCTGTGGTAGGCCGTTGTACAAGATCCTCGCATTGCTCGCCCAGAGATGCCTCGAACTACAATGGGTGCCGGCTAGGCTAAAGGAGGCTATAGTTATAGTGCTCCCAAAGCCCGGTAAAACCCCAGCCGACTATCTTACCCCCGGAGGCTATAGGCCTATTTCCCTTCTTCCTACTATTGGCAAGGTAGTGGAAACAGTGGTTACCAAAAGAATCACAGAGGCAGCCGAAGCCTACGGCCTATTACCCGACGAACAGATGGGAAACCGGGAACATAGGTCAACAGACCTAGCTATACGGCTTGTGGTGGCCCAGATCCAAGAGGCCTGGAGACAACGTGCTACGGCCTCCCTATTGCAGCTAGATCTAACAGGAGCCTTCGACCGGGTAAATCATACCCAGTTACTG